GTTTTGAGCAGGGCCTGGGGCAAATCCTAAACTTTCTTGGGCTCATTTTCCCTAAGACAAGACAAGGAAGAATGATAGCACAGGGGAACTCTATAAAGTTCTTCTATCTGTATAGTTTTAGCCATTTAGTGGAAGAGCTTTCACATATGGGAGCTAAGGCAGTGTGACAGAAAATGCATAATAGGTGGACTCAGCTAACTTGAGTTTGAATCTTGCCTCCGCCCTTCCTCAGTCTTATTTCCCTATGTGTATGACAACAGCATCTGCCTTACCTACCTCACAGAATTGTTATATAGATCAAATAAGGAAATATAAATAATGTGTGAAAGTGTTAATCATAAACATTAGACCTCATTTTTTTATTTAGTTCTGCATCTTGCACTAAGAAAGAAATTTTAGAAAAGGTAGGATGTGTTCTAGAGACTCCTTATTATCAGAGAAGATGTAATATTTATAATTTACAATTTAGGAGTGTCTGTTTCCTCAGCTATTGATTTGCTAAGAGTGTCACAGTTGGACAGTCCAGGTTCCTATGAACTCAGGTGTTACAGGAAAAATACATAAGATTTCAAAACCAATTATAAGTAGAGACTTTGGCTCAAAGTCAAATAGCTATGTTGGTTAGTGGTATGTTAGACATAGAAAGAAAGGGGGGGAGTAGAAAGATAGGAAAAGGAGAATTGGCTGTGCTGTAGAAAGAATCAACTTGACGTCTAGACTAACACTAAGATAAGGAATATGAGCAGAAAGGAGTTGAGGGCATTGGGAATCACCATTCTGATTCTATAAAGTGTGCTAGTTGGAACTGTATTATAGATGAAGGAAGTCCCGGTAGAAAAAATAAACTGGAAGGTCATCAGATGTAAAGAATAACATATTTGGAAAGCTTAGCCAGTAAAAATATTATGAAACTAGGCTACTAAATGTAAGGATCTCAACCTTTTTTACTCATAATTTGCTTTTATCATTACGCTATCTGAATTTTCACTGAGTAAATATGTAATGAATTTCAGATGGCTCTCCTCAAATTTCCAGAACACAAAAAGTTCATTTGTGAAGGCCTGGCACTTTTACTTGATATATATAAAATGAGAAAATATATATACACACATATATATATGTACACATTATATACACACATACATTATATAAATATATATAATCAAATATAAAATAAGGAGAATGATTCCTAAGATGCATACACTCAGTTTTATTGATTTATAATCATATTATCATATAGATTATGACCTTCATAAATAAAGATGGATCCAGGAAGGCATGCCTCTCTAAGAGATGTACGCCATGGAGCAAACCACAGCAAAGAGGTAAAAAAGACAGGACTGACACAAGACACAGCATCATTAGTGCAATGAAATTCAACTCCATTCATTAAATATGTACTGATAACCAACTAAAACCTATGATTAGAGAGAGATCAAAATATAAATTAATTATTTTGGTAAAATAAATCCAAATATATATTTTTTAAAGATTTTATTTATTTATTTGAGACAGAGAGAATGAGAGACAGAGAGCATGAGAGGGAGGAGGGTCAGAGGGAGAAGCAGACTCCCCGCCGAGCAGGGAGCCCGATGCGGGACTAGATCCCGGGACTCCAGGATCATGACCTGAGCCGAAGGCAGTCGCCTAACTAACTGAGCCACCCAGGCGCCCCCAAATATATTTCTAATCATTTCAAATGGTGTAAGCTTGCCAATTCTCCTTGTACTAAAGATTCTCATCTAGTTTTTGGACCAATCTTTGCTCCAAAAGTCCAAGGCTGGGGAACCAAGTAACAATAGCACATGAGTCCTAACAACAGCTGAAGCAAGACACTGGGGAATTAGCATTTACCATGGACTGGGGCTAAAAGAATTGTTAACAGAGGACCTAGAGAAATCTTCTTTTACATCTTGTTATACTTTCTTATTTCTTTTGTAGGATTACCTCACTTTAACCTAGGACTAACATAAGATTTATTTTTTTTTTTAAAGATTTTTTTCTTTATTTATTTGAGAGAGAGAGTGAGAGAAAGAGAGAGCACAAGACGGGGGAGCGGGAGAGGGAGAAGCAGACTCCCTGCTGAGCAGGGAGCCCAATGCGGGACTCGATCCCGGGACTCCAGGATCATGACCTGAGCTGAAGGCAGTCGCTTAACCAACTGAGCCACCCAGGCGCCCAAGATCATTTCTAAGTATATGTTTCACTGTATTGATATACCTGAATATTGTATATATGCATATTAACAAATTCACTATCTCATTTTTTAAAGGTTTTATTTATTTAATTTATTTTTTTAAAAGATTTTATTTATTTATTTGACAGAGACAGAGATAGCGAGAGCAGGAACACAAGCAGAGGGAGTGAGAGAGGGAGAAGCAGGCTTCCTGCTGAGCAGGGAGCCCGATGTGGGACTCGATCCCAGGACCCTGGGATCATGACCTGAGCCAAAGGCAGATGCTTAATGACTGAGCCACCAAGGCACCCCTAAAGGTTTTATTTTTAAATAATCTCTACACCCAACATGGGGCTCAAATTCACAATCCTGAGGTCAAGAGTCACATGCTCTACCAACGGAGCCAGCCAAGCACCCCAACCATCTCATTGTTTAAATTAGATTTTTAAAATGCTAAATTTAAATGATATGTGTACATTGTACTATAGAATAATTTTTCCTTTTCTTGTACTGAAATAAGAAAGGTAATTTATGTTACCCCAAATCAAAATAAAAACTAAAAATTAAGTTAATTTTCATAGAGACTAACACTGCAGATCAGGATTTATATTACAAAGACAAAAATCACATAATGTTTCAAATTAATATATCTGTCTTTCTCTAATGCTCCTGCTTCACCTGCAGCACATCAGACAAGGTAATAATTTATGATAATCATATGAAAATATACAATTAATATTCATCACCTCTCATTCCTCATCACTTTAGATGATCAGTAATGCAGAGTGAAAATGCTGTCAGATTTCTAATTGCTTTGTAATGGGCTTGAAACAGGGAAATCATTAAAGGCAAACAATCTGTCATTTGTCTGTTACTTTATCTATCACACAAAAAAACTCATTAAAGAAATTGCTAATGAACTACAAAAGACTATACTCATGGTGCTTCTACAGTAGATTAACAAGTATTACTATGAATTGCTTAAAATATTTTAAAAATATGATATTTTTTGGAAATTTATCAGAAAACATCTTCAGTATATTTTTTAAGCCGTATGGTTTCATTATTTTGGCATCTAATCCATCATTGCAGAAGTCCCTTTAGCATGTAAGATTTGTTTTTCATCAGTCTCTAAATAATTCAACTGAAAGTTTTCAAGAAAAGGCTGAAATGCTAAATGTGTTTATCACTAGTAAATTGACACAAGTAAAAAAATAGTACTATAATAACAACCCTAATGCTAGGTAAAGAATATATTTCAAAATTTGATTTTTACTCTCATAATTCCATGGATTTTGAACTGTTGAAGTTGCAATGTTTCATTTATCTTAATGCTATCATTATACAAAAATTATATCCAACTATTAAAATTGACCATAATATTATTAACCTCTGCATAACATTAACTAATTTGAAATTTTGAAGATATTAACCAATACTAAAATGTTTCATAATATTACATCAAATAATTTTGGAGGGGAAAACAAACCATTTCTTTAAATGATCACATCCAATTTTATATGTCTTTATCAGTGCTACCTTTCTATATAGTATTAAAAAAATCTGTAGGGCCACCTGGGTTGCTCAGTCACTTAAATGTCTGCCTTCAGCTCAGGTCATGTTCCCAGGGTCCTGGGATCGAGCCCCGCATCGGGCTCCCTGCTCAGCAGGGAGCCTGCTTCTCCCTCTGCCTACTGCTCCCCCTGCTTGTGCTCTCTCTCTCTCTCTGACAAATAAATAAATAAAATCTTTAAAAAAATAAAAATAAGTAAATTAAAAAATCTACAATAATGACACTAATCTAGTTTTAAAAACAAAGAGGTACATAAACAAAAAACCTAGTAATGTTTTGTTGGGTATACAGTCCAGTTGCATTTTATTTTTGAAAAAAATATGAGAGTGATCATGTTTTTCATTATGCTATTGATGAACTGAATCATGAATTTATTTCCTACAACAAAACATAAGAATCTTAGTAATAAAGTCAAACTTTTAAAAACTATGTAGATCTATTCATATCTATTGGAATATACCCAAATTTAAAAACCTAAATGCAATGGCATGTTCAGATGGATGCCATGGTTGAATATAGGAGTTAATTCCAAGCTAACTTCAAAAGGTTCCATAACACTCTGGAAACATCTTCATTATACTCTCTAATTGACTTAAACAGACTTCATATCAACTGTTTAACACATTTTAACCGACAAATTAACACCCCTTGATCATTCAGATTAACCTTTCTTCTGTGAGTCAATTACATGACTAAAATAAACTTAAAAAAATTCAGTTAAAAAAAATTAAAATGGAGAAGGAAGAATGCTTTAAAAAAAGGATATAGGGGCGCCTGAGTGGCTCAGTCGTTAAGCGTCTGCCTTCAGCTCAGGTCATGATCCCAGGGTCCTGGGAGGCTCAGGTCATGATACCGGGGTCCTGGGACAGAGCCCCAGGACCGGCTCCCTGCTCAGTGGGGAGTCTGCTTCTCCCTCTGCCCCTCCCCCCTTCATGCTCACACACTCTCTCTCTGTCAAATAAGTATATAAAATAAAATTTAAAAAGCTTTAAAAAGAAGAATGGGGAAATATGTTTGGTATTTATTACGATTACTAAAGAGAAACAGAAAATGTATTATTGACAGTATCTTTAATAGGTTCATGGAAAGATGAAAACATCAGAGAAGAAGGTAGTAAGACAGGAACAAAAATTCTGGGTAAGATAAAGACCTCTAAAAGGTCTGAAACAAGGTTGAAAGAACACTGACATAACTAAAGTTAAAAAACAAGAAAAACACAGCAACAGGTGTGGTGTCAGCAAAAGTATTTACCTCTTTGTCTCTCCTGCTCAGTACACTGCCTTGCTCAAATTCATGAATTTTCACTGATGGTTACCACTGAAAAGACAAGAGAGAGAAGAGATCAAGTGAAGACAACGAGTAAGGGGGAAAACACAAAAATAAAAAACCATTTCTATTTTTTTTGAAGATTTTATTTATTTATTTGAGAGAGAGAGCAGGAGCAGTGGGGAGGGGCAGAGGGAGACATCCCACCGGACACAGGGCTCCTTCCCAGGACTCCGGGATCATGACCTGAGCCAGGGGCAGACAGATGCTTAACCGACTGAGCCACCCAGGCGTCCCTGAAAAATCATTTCTAAAAGAGGTGGGATTGGGGCATCTGGGCGCCTCAGTCATTAAGCGTCTGCCTTCGGCTCATGTCACGATCCTGGGGTCCTGGGGTGGAACCTGGCATCGGGCTCCCTGCTCGGCGGGAGGCCTGCTTCTCCCTCTCCCGCTCCCTCTGCTTGTGTTCCCTCTCACTGTGTCTCTCTCTGTCAGATAAATAAACAAAATCTTTAAAAAAAAATTAAAAAGGTGGTATTGTTCAATAGGGCTGATTCTCAATACCATCTAAAGCTTTATGACAGTATGCCAAAAAAAGAAAAGTTTCTCTAATTCTATTCATCTCTCCCTTCCATTAAAACTTAATACTTCAATATTTAAAACTTAATACTTCAATATTTAAAACTTAATACTTCCATACATCTCTCTGTATTAGCCCCATTTTGAGGAAAGATTTCAGTCGTTCAGGAAATCTACCTTCTTCTATCACCTAAATTAGTAACTGTCACAGCACCTGCATTTCCTCTGGCGTAGCACTTCCTACAGTTACTTTAGTTGCTTCTTTAATTGTCTATTTACCCAGATAAACTCTAAGCTTTTACAAGGGCTACAGCCAACTGTCTTGTGTCTCTTGTAACAAAGTGTGGGACACATAGTAGACACTCAATAAGTGGTTTGTAGATTGAATGAATAAGTGAGTGAAGGTTCTATCTGTACTCTGTGTGTATATGCGTGTGTTTATCTCATCAGTAGCTTATTCTTTTTTTTTTAAAGATTTTATTTATTTGACAGAGAGAGACAGCGAGAGAGGGAACACAAGCAGGGGGAGTGGGAGAGGGAGAAACAGGCTTCCCACTGAGCAGGGAGCCGGATGTGGGGCTCGATCCCAAGACCCTGGGATCATGACCTGAGCCAAAGGCAGACGCTTAATGACTGAGCCACCCAGATGCCCCTCATCAGTAGCTAATTCTTGATGGTTTTCCTATCTTCCCAGTAGATTTTAAGTTGCTGTAGGGGCAACCATCTAATTTCAGAACATAACCATAAAGTTTTGTGGTACTTAAAAATAAATACAGCTTAGTTCACTGATATGAAAATCCTAAAAACTCAGAGATAAATAAGATCAAGGAAATTAAAGAAGAGTTGGTAATGAAACCAGTAGAAAGAGCCAAGTAAATATAAATATAATCCTAAGATAAAAATAGCAGAACTACACTGTATATATTGCAAATATTAACCATCAATAAGAAGCACAATTTACTAATATGATCTCAAATTAAGAATTTATTAATGTGTGGTAGACATTAGTTAATGGGCAGACAAATATTAAAGTAATAAATTGAGTAAAAATTGATTTTTGCCATCACTACAACCAAGCGTCTTAAACCCCTGCTATATCTATACTATAAGCCATACTTACATCTACATCTATACCTACATTTAACTCTACTTGATCAATCATCTTGATTATTTTTTGGCCAATCATCTTGAAATTAAATATTTAATGTATGCCTATCCTGTTTATGTTAAATGTTGATGACACGAGAATTAAGAGGTTTTTGCCCATGCTTTTAATTTATCCACAAACTATATAGTTCAACAAACATTTGGGTTTGGGGGTCATTTTTCCAACTCAATAGTTTGTAGCTTTCATTTGCTCTGTTTGGAAATTCCTAAAATATAGCTATGAATTCTTAATGTTCTAATAGTCAAAACTCAGGAACAAGTATTTCACTATTAATAATAATAACAACAAAAGCTAACCTTTCCTGAGTATTTACTACTTTCAGGCATTATTATCTCATTGAATCCTCACAACAAACCTAGAGGGAGATACTATTATTATTCCTTTTTTACAGAGAAATAAACCAAGGCACAGAGATTAGTTAAGTTAAAATGTTCATATAACCAGTAAGAGACAGAGTCTGGATTCAAAACTATGCAGTCTGACCCTAGACTTCATGCTCTTTTTTTTTTTTTTTTTTTTAAGTAGGCTCCATGACCAGTGTGGAGCCCAACGCAGGGCCCAAACTCACAACCCTGAGATCAAAACCTGAGCTGAGATCAAGAGTCAGATGCTTAACTGACTGAGCCACCCAGGCACCCCTAGACTTTGTGCTCTTAACCATTATGCTAACACAGTTTCTATTTCTGCTATGTTAGTTTTACATAAAATGGGTAACTTACCTTCTTAAAATAAGAAAGTGAGAAACAAGCCTATTATAGATACACATCATTAGAACTTCAGAGATGTGGCACAATAGCTGGTGCTTAGTTTCTCTGAGAGGTGTCCCTGCCCTCACAGAGCTTATGGAGTTAGGGAATCAGAACATACATCCAAAATGTATGATAGTACCCTTGGGATAGGATGGGTACAAACGAGGAGGACATACAGGACTGGCTACAAAAGTTGAGAGGAGGAACTAATTTCTAAGGATTGAGTCAGCATAAAAGGCTTGATGGAAGAGATGGGTCTGAAAAGAGGAATAAAATTGGTAGGTGGAAGCAAAGAGCAAAAGTGGTGTAAGCAAGGAGAACTACCTGAGCAAAATTATGGATGAAGTACCAAGAAAAGATCCCATTGTTTAAATGTTTCATGTATGGAGGTAATAAGCGATGAGGCTTGAAAACTAAGGATAATATTTGGGAGGTAAGTGAATGCCAGGTTAAGGAATTAGGATTTTATCCTCTATTTTATTTATTTACTTATTTTTTGAAGTAAGCTTTACACCCAATGTGGGGCTTGAACTCACAACCCTGAGATCAAGAGTCATGTGCTTTACTGAATGAACCAGCTGGGCACCCCAAGATATTATCCTTTAGACCTGGCCTGTTCAATACAGCAGTCACTAGTTAGATGTGGCTAAGGAACACTTAAGATGTGGCAAGTCCAAATTGAGATGAGCTATACAGGTAAAATACACTGAATCTTTAGTATGAAAAAACAATGTAAAATGCCTCCTTAATAATTTCTACATTGATTATATTTTGAAATGCTCATACTCTGAATATACTGGGTTAAATAAAATGTATTATTAAAATTCATTTCACCTGTTTCTTTTTACTTTCCTAATGTGGCTACTGGGAAATTTAAAATCATATATGTGGTTTGTATTTGTGGCTTACATATATTTCTATTGGGCAATAATGCTCTAGAAAATGAAAAATGAAGACAAATGAGCAGGGATTCATGTAAAAAGTGTTTTAAGAAGTTTATTCTGGTATAAATAAATTCAGATTGTAAGACAACTGATTTGGTTTTTCAATAAGTCAATGGCAGGAAAAGAAAAAACAAAATCAAGATAGTAGTGAAGTGGGATTGCTACAGCTTAAAAAATACTAAAGAGACAGAACAATCAAATGCAACGTGTAGCCTTTGTTTGGATCATGATTCAAGCAAACGAACCATAAAAAGACATTTCTGAGACAACTAAGGAAATAGAGACTAGATACTGTCGATGAATTATTGATCATTTCAGTAGAATGACATTATGGAGATGAAAGAAAAAGTTGCAAACTAAAGTATGCTTTTACTGATGTGAGCTAAAGTATGTTGAGATGAAATGACTGAACACTTGGGAACTGCTGGGGGAAAAAGGGTGTACCTCTTACTATCTAAACCTAAATAAATACATACATACACACAGCACACACACACAAATATGAAAGTATGAATTGAGAAAATTGAGGTACTGTGATCAGACTTTTCAGAATCTGACTTAAAAAAGGGAATAAAAGAGAAAACACAATCAAAGTAATGTGCTCTTGCTGTAAAAAATGGATGATCTGAGCTTAACTATGAGGAAGGACTAAGCAGTGGAAAGGCGGGTATTTGAGGGCTAAAAAGTTCAAGGGGGTGTCATTCTGTATAGGAGGTATTCAGAACAACACTTAATTCTATCACACATTTCCTTAGGACCACACAGAAGGTATGAAGGTATGTTGGAACCAGGACTAAAATCAGATCCTCTGACTTGGCATAATGCTCTTTTGTGCCTAATTTTAAACATGACAAAATTCTATGGAGAGCCCAATTTATACCTTTTGCTTTAGATTTTCTTTCTTATGTCAGTTATTCTTTATACCATCATTAAATAATTGACCATATTAAAATATTTTATTTAATGTACTTAGGTTTATCTTGACTGCTTCTCAAACTGAGATTTGGTAGAAGAAAGGTAAAAAAGAAGGAAAGCAAATTTAAGCAGTAATAACAACATAGCTATTTTAACATCTCCAAGTGAAATTTAAATCATTCTGCCAAAACACAAGATGCAGTTTCACCTCTGGGAACAATGCAAGGAAGAGAGGTCAACGTGAGCCAAGTAGTAGAGAGAAGAGACAATAAAAGGGAACAACAGAAGGAAAGGGAGAGGCAAGAAGGAAAAAACTACCAAAAAACCTAACAGTGCCCATTTGTAGGGCCCAGCAACTGCCTCAAAGCAGAGCGGTTTATTCTTTTTCCGTAAGCTTGGAAAGATTGCCTGGCTTCCCTGGTAATATGCACACTTACTAAGAGTCCTGTTCTGCTGCTATACAATTAGCTATTTGGCCTTGATCCTTGGTTTGCTTCCTCATCTACCAAATGGGAGTATTAACACCTGCCTTACCGGTTTCACTGGATTGAAGTGAAAGTGAAGCAAGTTGGTAAGTATGAAAGGACTTTGAAAAGTTATCGGTTGCTAAGATCATCTACAAGAAATAATTAAGTTGAACATCTTTTCTAGAAAAAAACTATTAAAACTGAAAAAAAAAAACAAACCCAACCCACCTTCAATCGGTATAGGTTTTCTCTTAATTTTCGAATGCGAACATTCTCAGGGAAGTGTAAAGACGAGGGAGGAATTAGATCTCCTCATCCTTCACAGGCTCCTACCCCACCGCTCCCCTACCCTCCTCCCCAGCCCGAGAACTGTCACCAACCACCAAAGGACTGGGAGCAGGGTAGGGTAAGCGGAGGAAGCCCGGGGCGAAGAGGGGGGTGGTGCTCGCTGAGGGAGAGGAGAGACGCCACAGTCTCGGACTTGGGACTAGAGGGAGTTAGAATGAGGCGAAGGACACCTTTTTCCAAAGCTCGGGCACTTACTGCTTGTAACTCCTTGGAAGCGAAGACTGGTTACTATAGCGACCGCGTCCAGGAGGGCGGAGCGCCCCTTGCGTTCGGTGCCTCGGCCACAAGGGCTCGACTAGAAACGTGGTCACGTCCGGGCAATGACTTCCGGCGGAAGGAGAAGCCGGTTCCGGGTTTTGGCCGACTTCAGGCGAGGAGTGGGTGATGAGGACTCTAGGAGTTTGGTAAGTTCGATATCGAGTAAGGCCAGGAGAGGGTAGCCGTTTGTGGCTGGGCGGTACAGCCGAAATGAATACAGTGGGTTCCTAAGTCTCGATTTGAGAGCCCTAGCCGCACCCCCCCGCCCCCTCCCCCCCGCCGCGCCTTGAAGTTCACAGCTGTGGGAGGAGGTTGCTTGATTTCTGGGGCTCCTGGCGAGGTCTCTTCGGTAGTCTAGAGAGCTGGAGTATTCTCCTCTGAGCAGTTTCAGGAGCTCTTTCTTTGTAAACGCCAGTAACCGAGGGACTCATGTTGTCTACCTGCCCGAGCTGTTTCCCGTATTATTCTTTTAAGGTAATCTGGAAGAAATGTGAACTGGAAACACTAAGAGGGAGTGCTCCCAAATTCATTTTAATTCTTTGCTGTTTTGTTTTGCTTTCAACATTTTTTAAATTCTGTAAACATTTATTAAATTCCTCTATTGTGTTTAGTGAGTATTTACTATGTGCGGCTTTTACCACGAGACAAGCAGAAATACCTTCTAGGAGGGCATCCACCGCTCGCGTTCATTTTCGAATTGTTTTCTTAATGCTATTGTAATTCATTAATTTAAGGTACAAGCGTGTATCATGAAACGTGAAACAGATTTCCCATACTTGTCTGTATACTTACACATGAAATTGTTGGGGCGTTTTCAATGAAAATACATGCTTCATCAGGTTTGCGTTATAATCCTGATTTACTCAACTATTAAAGAACTTAGGAAACTACTTGCTTATTTCTTCGATCCTGCAAACTGTAATGAATTGTCATCAATATTTTTATTCAGCTGATCTGAGAAGGCCCACTTCTTGTTCAATGGATGATGGCAGTTGAGCAGATACCAAAGAAGGATTGGTACAGCATTCTGGGGGCAGACCCATCTGCAAGTGTGTCAGACCTAAAACAAAAGTATCAAAAACTCGTATTAATGGTAAGTCATTTCTTAAAGATTTAAATCATGGGGGGGTAAACAGGTTTTTTTATGTGACCTGAGATTTAGGTTTCTATAAAATGAATGGGAATATCAAAGCAGGAATTAGGATATTAATGTGATTAATTGAAAGTTTCAGTAATATTGTAAAAAAAATTTTGTTTTTAATTTGAGGTGGGAAAACATGGTGGTTTGGAGCAGGAGATCTTATTCATGCTGGTTGATTTAGAATCCTGATTCTACCACTAACTGTGGGAACTTGGGACAAATTACTTTCCCCTGTATGTGCCTCAGAGAGAATTAAATGAAATAGTCCAAGTAAAATGCTTAGAAGTATGTCATGTAATAAGCCGTGTTAGTATCCTGTAGCCACTAGCTACATGGTGTCTGTTGAGCACTTGAAATGTGGCTAGTCCAAAATGAAATTTATTATAAATGTAAAATGCATTTGAAGACTTAGTATAAAAAGAATATAAAATAATGTAAACTTTATGTTGATTACATCTTGAGGTAATAATATTTGGGTTTATTGTTATTTTGCATATTTTGTACATAATATACGCACATATATTTGCATATAGTATAATTATATTATCAAAATGGATTTAATCTGCTTTTTACTTTTTTAACAAAGCATATGGCTTACATTTATAGTTTGTGTTATGTTTTTATTGAATGGTGCCAATTTAAGCCATTTATACAGTTTTTCATGTGACTCCATTCTTTGGTGAAATGAGTTGTGGTATTTATATAGTATCTTTCTGAACTGTTTAATTTTTTTCAACCTATATTGTGATGTGTCTTAAGTCAATATCAGTAACTCTATAATGGTTTCCCGTTAACCCAGTTTACAAAAGGGGTAGAGGACCATTACTTATACAGCATTAGTTGTTTCTGTAGTTTTTGTCAAATAGATCTGAGATTTTGCCAAAACTATTAGTGTTTATTGTGAGAGATGTGGATGTTTTACCATCAGGAATGTATTAATATCCCTTCTTTAGGTAATAAGCTGACTAAACGATGTTAAGATTTCTTTTATCTCAGAATTTCTAGGATTTCTCTAGACTTGATTGAAATTTTTTTCCTACTACTGAATCATACTTGTGCCTCGTTTAAACTGAGAGATGAGGCTGGAGAAGTAGACTGGGTCTAGATCATGCAGGCCTTGTAGGCCACGTTGACCTTTAATTTGTCAAGGAGAAACAATTTACATTTATTTATTTATTTATTTATTTTTTAAAGATTTTATTTATTTATTTGAGACTGAGAATGAGAGACAGAGAGCATGAGAGGGAGGAGGGTCAGAGGGAGAAGCAGACTCCCTGCCGAGCAGGGAGCCCGATGCGGGACTCGATCCCGGGACTGCAGGATCATGACCTGAGCCGAAGGCAGTCGCTTAACCAACTGAGCCACCCAGGCACCCCAACAATTTACATTTAATATGGTAGCATCAGTCAAACACCAAAGTGAATCATTTTGCATACCCTTCTGTAACATATCAGAGAGTCCCATTTGCTCTAAATCTTCACCAACATTTGATGCTATTTGTCTCTTTTGTCTATGGGGAGTTTCTCAGTTTTGCCACCTTTAACATTTTGGACAGGATAATTCTTTGTTATGTGGGGCTGTCCTGTGCCTTGTAGGATGTTTAGCAACATTCTAGATGCCCGTAACAACTAAAAATGTCTCCTGGTGGTCAAAATTGTAAACCTCCCCATCCCATTGAGAACCACTGCACAATTCTGTATTTATAGTGATCTCTCAAGTGGTTTTATTTTGTATTTCTCTGATTAATGATTTTAAGCACTTTTAAATGTTATTTTTAGTCATTTGTATAATTATCTTTTCTGAAGTGTCTTTTTAAAAAATTAAGTACATTCTTGATCTTGTGTATACATTGTGTATATTTTCTCCTAGGTGTTTTTTGATAAGCAGAAGATTTTTGTTTTGATGAAATACAATTTATCACATTTGTTTTTTGATTACTGCTTTCTGTGTCTTTAAGAAGGTCATGAAAATACTGTTTTTTTTCTATAAGCTTATAGTTTGCTTTTACCTTTAGACCTCTGACTCTTTTGTGTACGGTGTGAGGGGAGAGGTCATGTTTTTTTTTCCCTCAGTATGAATATCCAACTGTTCACTTACTGCAGAGATTTTCTTCTCTGCATTATATTGTCAATGTCTTGGCAGTGAGGGTTTATTTCTAGATTCTATTTTGTTTGGTATATTTGTCTGTCCTTTTACTAATACCTCTGTCTTGATTACTATAGTTTTACAGTCTGTTTCAAAGTCATGTGAAGTTAAGTTCTTTAATTTTATCCTTCTTTTCAAGTTTATTTTGGTTATTTTAGTTTGCTTGCATTTCCACAGAAATTTAGAATCAGCTTCTAAGTTTCCATTTAAAGAAATGCTGCTTGAATTTTAATTGTGACTGTATTGAATATATATCCATTTGTCGGAATGGACATTTAACAATATTGTGTCTTCTAATCTATGAATATATTATGTCTCTGCATTACATAAATTATCTTTAATTTCTCTCAGAAATATTTTAGAACTTCCAGTATAGTACTACACTTCGTATTTATTTCTAGCTTTTGGTGTTTTTGGTTCTATTGTAAATGGTATTTTACAATACCGGGGAGGAACAGAGAGGAGAGAGAGAATCTCAAGCAGACTCCCTGCTGAGCGTGGAGCCTGTCCTCTTGTGGGGCTTGATCCCACGATCATGAGATCATGACTGATCCAAACAATCAAGTCAGGTGCTTAACCAACTTGGCAGTTTCTGTTTGTTCATTTGTTTCTAGATTCTGCATATAAGTGAAGTCATATAGTGAAGTTCCAGAGGGGAGGGGGTTGGGGGGATGGGTTAGCCTGGTGATGGGTATTAAAGAGGGCACGTTCTGCATGGAGCACTGGGTGTTATGCACAAACAATGAAGGGCATGCCCCTTCTGTAAGTGTAATAGACACTTATGGATGTAATTATTGACAGTGTTTGGGTTCAAATCAGTAATCTTCTTTTTTACCCCTTTGGATTTGTCCTGTCTGCTTTTTCCTCTGTTTTGCCTTTCTTACCATCTTTTGGGTAAATCAAGTATGCTTTATTATTCTGTGTTATTTCCTTTGTTGAATTTTCAATTATGCTTCTCTGTGTGTTTTTTAGTGATTTTTTCTAGAGATTAAATGTAATAAGTTGTCAAAGTTTACCTTCAAAAAAATGTCATTACTCCACAGTGTAAGAACATTACAACAGCACACTTCATTTACTATCCTCCTTCCCCTTTGTTTTTACTTTCAAAGATAAGATATGCTGTAAACTCTGGAGTATAATGCTATTTTAAATATTTCTACTCAGTATTCTTTTAAAGAGATTTATTGGTGTGTATTATGTATCATATTTTTTTAAATGATGTTTCTATGTGGTATTTCCTTTTTTCCATCTATGGAATTTTTTGCCTTCATTTTGGAAAGATTTTTTATTTCCACTGGCTGGAGAACTGTAGATTGACAAGAGTTTGTTGGTTTTTTTTTTTTCCTTTTAAAAGCTTGTTTTAGATTGTTTCTGATGAGAATTCAGCTATTAATTCATATCCTCGTTCCCTTCTTTTTAATGTATCTTTTTATCTCTGGTTACATTCAAGATTTTCTCTTTATCTTTTGGTTTTAGTGGTTTCTCTGTCATGTGCCTAAAATGTGGGGGTTTTTTGTGTTTATCTTTCCTAGGCTTAACTGAGTTTCTTGGATTTGCGGTTGATGCCTTTCTTTTGCTGCTTTTGGAATATTTTCAGCCATTATGTCTTCACATTTTTTTTCCTGCTCCATTCTTCCTCTCTTTTCCTTTTGGGATTCTAATTATTAATATCCCTTCTTTAGGTAATAAGCTGACTAAATGATGTTAAGATTTCTTTTATCTCAGAATTCTAATTACATATTAGATTGTACCACAGTTATTGATGCGCTATTCTTTTTTCCCCTAGTCTTTTTTTCTGTTTGTATTTCAGTTTGCATAATTTCACTGAACCTGTCTTCATTTCACTGTCTCTACTGTGTCCATCTGCTGATAAACTCATTAAAGAAATTCTTAATCTCTGTTACCTAATTTTCATATCTGGCATTTCTCCTGTCTCCTTTTTTTGTATGGTTTTCCTATGTCTTCCATCTTTTCACACATATTATGTACCACTTCCACCAGCTCATCTAATATACTTAACTGTAGTTATTTTATTATTTTTTTTAACTAGTTATTTTAAAGTCCTTGTCTGATAAGTCTAACATCTAACGCAGAGATGGTCTATATCCTTTCTTGATGGTGGACCACATTTTCTTGGTTCTTTGCATTGTCTTACCATTTTTTATTGAATGACAAAAATTGTTTGTAAATGAAAAGTAGACATAGAAGTAAATACTATCTGTACTCCTAGGCATGGGCATGCCCCTTCTGTAAGGCAGCTTGTGTGGTGCACAAGTTAAGTCAGTCTAGCCTGTAATTGAGCTGAGTTCTGGTTGTCGTTGCTTTAGTGATTCATTTCACCACAGGCTTCAGATGATTTGAGCAGGATCAGCACCATCCCTTTAGCAGAGCTTGAGTCCCGTCAGGATTTGTCTCAGCTTTCCTGTCCTGTCTGTGGACTTCAGCAGACCCCCTGCATGTGAAGAATGGTGTCTCTCAGTCTCTTCCAGTTTTCCTGTCTCTCTTTTAGTTATGGATGACTGTTGCCTGGTATTTAGCGTGAAGTCTGTATTCCTTGGAGGGTTTCTCTCCGTTCTCCAGGACTGCTCTCTAACTTCAGTGGGCCACTCGTGCCAGTGCCTCATGAGGTGACTCTTGGCTCTCCCGCCCTATCTCTGTTCTTTCTTGTGAGCACTTGGCAAACGCCTGTGGGATAGAATTGGTGGGCGGGTACAGTCTATACCTTTGGGTGCCCGGGAACTCTAAATTGTCATGCCAGTCTGTAGTCGGCCTTTAAAATTGATTAAAAGTTTGTTTTCTTATCTATG